TCTTTTGTTTGGGATTTAGTTAGGATTTACTGTGTCCATAGTAAAACCGATATACTCTTCATTGAATAGACTTTCGTGCCGCATTCCAAAACATTAAAACCCATAAAATTCTCTTCATTTGCAGGCTTCGTGTCGTCATACTATCTCCTACACCAAACACTAGACCTCGAGACCAATATTGACGCATGTTCTTGGGGTGTTTCCATAACTTCCCCTAGCTCTGTGTGGGATCCCGCGCGCGCGCGCTGAAAAAAGCGCCCGAAAATGTCGAAACCCCGGGGATTTTGTCAAAATATCCCCGCCCGGGGACATATGAGCCACCGCCCCCCCCGCGACCAAGATTGCAGCGTAGCCCAGGGGTGTTCCGACGTTTCCAGATGGAGGGCCCCTTGATTACAACGCCAGTTTGCCTTGCGGTACGTCGAAATGCTCGAAAACACTATGTAACTCGAGCAATGAGATACTACTAATAGTACCAAACAACAACGACGGTTCAGGTTCTCGAGGCCTATCGAGTACGGTCAGGACCGCGATGCGTCCGAGAAGGCTGTCCTGAGGTCCAGGGCTCGGGCGGCGGAGCTGAGGCAGATGCTCGAGCCCTTGCTATTGCAGGTGAGTCTGTCTGCTTCTGTCTTTCTTTCTCTTCCTCAAGCGATTTATTCTGCTCTAGGTGACGGTCAAAGTAGGGCATGTTCTCTCGGTAACGGTCAAAATGGGGTACTTCTCTCTGTGATGGCAAAGAGAGGGTACAACGATTGCGGGTCTGTGCCTAGGCCCTCGTCGAGCCTTCGCTACGCTTTTGTCTCTCCCAGAGGGCTGCCTTTCGAGCGTCTCGATTCAACACGCTGTTTGCTATCGTGTGTCAGCATTGGTGTGCCGTTGAGAACGATTCTGGGATCGTCAGGGTACAGTACTGTAAGGATACAAGGTCAACAACTCGTGATACACCTGGATATCTCCTGGTGTGGTTGGCCTCTAGACGTGCTTTGTTTTTCTTCGGCCGGTACTTCTGTGGGTAGCTATCTGTATCTCTCTGTCTCTTGTCGCTCTGTTTCTCTCTCCCTCTGCCACCCTGATCATTTGCTACACTCGCTTTTTCTACTGCCGCTGGCTGCCTTCTTGCCTCTGATGCTGACTCCTATGGCAACCAAAAGTTGGCCCGACGGATTTTTTGGACTGGCATGCCCCCACCCCCCGGATTTGCGACGGATTCGACCAAGAGACATACCTCTCACCACATCACCACAGAGTTCTCCCTTTATGATGGTCGGATCGCCAACAAACCTTGAAGGCTGTGCGCACCACACCTGTAGGCGTCTTTGAAGCTAGTAGTGACTGCTGTGGGATCTGTGCATGCTGAGAAATGTCAATCCATGTGAGCAAAAGTAAGAATCCGTGTGGAGAATCCGCAGGAGATGCTATACAAAAACTAGGCCAAACTCTCGTATAGAATCCTCGACGGATTCTCCACACGGATTCTTTGTTTTGCTCACATGGATTGATATTTCTTAGCACGCACAGATCCCACAGCAGTCACTAGCCTTCAAGGTTTGGTGGCGATCCGACCATCATGGAAGGAGAACTCCGTTGTAATGTGGTGAGAGGTCTGTCCCTAGGTCGAATCCGTGTCAAATCCGGGAGGTCGGGATATGCCAGTCCAAAAAAATCCATCGGGCCAACTCTCGGTTGCCATGACAGCCTGTAAAGCTCTCTGTTCATCCTCTCGTGTCGAAGCTCTTCGCGATGTATCGCACTATACACGGTAAGATTGATCTCCGCTTGTAACCCCCCGAAGATCGACCGTTCCATATGGAGCAGCATCTTCCAACACTGCCCATTCCCCCCCTCCCACGCTGACCCCGTTCGTGATATCGGAGTTGTTCGATAATGCCTGCTGCTGAATTGAAACCCCTGGCCTTGCCGCACACAGCGTACCAAGGGAGAGATCATGGACGAGAAGGCTACCACCAAGACCGAGGTAAGCTTAACATATGCATAGAAATCACAAAACAGCCACAGAAGTTGACAACGACAACAACAACAACAAAAACCTTCGGGAGCGCTCTGTTTCGAGGTGGCGCACATGCACGCGTCACACGTTCAGCGAAGGTTGGCCTCGTGTACCGCTGGTGGCGGTGGTGTTGCGGTGGCATTTAGGTACCGCAGAAGCAGCAGAATCCTTCGTTTTTTCCGCGCTAGTGGCGTTAGGTAGGAGCCCTCTATGCGGTGCAACATCGATGGCGGCGCTACAGCAGTCTTGTCCATGCGCCTCTCACTCAGGCGAGAACCAATGTGCGAAGTGTATGCACCACATGATAGCAACGAGACCCCCCCCCCCCCCCCC